CTAGCTCTGATTCTGCCCACCGAGGAAGCCTGGGAACGCCCAACTCCTCCCCTTCACACAGTCTAAGTGCTGTCACTGAATCACTCTTGGGCTGATGGTCCCCTGCTGGGGTACGTTCATTCCTCTTACCTTGGCTTGGCCCCCAACACGTCATGTAACTTTGGGTTAGTCACTCACCCTCTTTAGCCTTTTGCTTCTACGGCTGTAAAATGAGAAGTGATGCCTCTGTCCACACCATCGGCCTCCTCCCCTGGCACCTGCCCCAAACGAAGCTAGCTGGCAACCACAGCAGAACAAAGATTGGGATGGGCCGCCACAGTGTGAGCTGGAGCCCACATGCTCCCCTGCCCGAGGAGCAGCCCTGAAGACACTCAGGCATGGTCTTCGAATCTCTCCACTCCCACCTCAGCTTGGTGGTTGAAGACGGTGATGGGGATTCTGGAGGCAGGAAAGAACTTCCTTCCATCTCCCCCATCCCCCAGGTGCTGCTCCAGGCCTGCTCGACCCCCCTTCCCTCCTTGGCCTCGCTCTCCAGGGATGTCCTCACATACTCTGTGATTCAGCCACTGCCCACATTCTAATAACGGCCAGTGGCCTCTCAGTCCCCGGCACCCACATTGCTCAACTCCGTGAGGCCCCAGGGCTGGGCTCCTGGGCAGAAGGGGCAGTGGTGTTCCCCCAGAATCCAGTGCATGCTGCCCCCCTGAGCTGTGTAAGGCCCTGCCTGGACGTCTTGCCGACTGCCTACGGGACTTCTCCACCTGGATGTCACACGGGCACCACAAACTCAACCTGACCCCATCTGAGCACATCAGCACCTTCCTCCCTTCTCATGACGGCACCATTCGCCCAGAGACTCAGCCCCCAAGCCCCCATCTCTTCTGGTGTCCCTTCACCCCTTATCTATGTCCAGCCTCTTCTCAAGTCCTGTCAATCCTGCCCCAAGCCTCTCTCCATCTTTTCTGCCCCTGGATTTTTTGCCTCACTTTAATATCACCAAACACATATGGAGCACTTGTTATATGCCTAGTCCTGTTCTGAGTGCTTTACCAATACTAACTCATAACTTTCATTTCACAGAAGAGGAAACTGAGGCACAGAGAAGTGAAGCATTTTACCCAGCGGCTGGACTTGAGCCCAGGCAGCCTGCTCTCAAGTCTGGGCTCTGAGCACCCCTCACGGGACCTCTCCCGAAGTCTTCTTGCTTGTCGCTGCACCTCCAGTCTCTTCCTCATTCAGTCCCTCCCACGTGTTGCTCACAGATGCATCCTTCTGCCCTTCTTGATTAAGAAAATGCTTTAGGGCTTCCCTGGTGGCGCAGTGGTTGAGAGTCCGCCTGCCGATGCAAGGGACACGGGTTCGTGCCCCGGTCTGGGAAGATCTCACATGCCGCGGAGCGGCTGGGCCCGTGAGCCATGGCCGCTGAGCCTGCGCGTCCGGAGCCTGTGCTCCGCAACGGGAGAGGCCACAGCAGTGAGAGGCCCGCGTACCGCAAAAAAAAAAAAAAGAAAAGAAAATGCTTTAATGACAAAAATGACTCCAGCAGTGTGGTCTTTCTGGAGCATGCCCTGCTCAAAAAACCTTGAAACCGGCCCCTTCTTCCCCAGCCCCATTTCCCTACTTCATGCTCACAGAATAAAGCCCATTCCCTGGGCTAAGGATTCAAGGATGTGACCCCAACAAGCTCCCAACTCCCCTGGGGAGTCCCTCACTGTTCCTGACTCCCCTCAGGCACCCTGTCTTCTAACCTCCCTGACGGCACCGGTTCCGACCCCGGCACTGCACGGGGGTGAGTTCTGAATGTGTGATGGATCGTTCTTCCTTGAGAAAAGTCTGCAGGTCTGATTCCTCTTTGAACCACCAGAGCATCTACCACAGTGTGTCGCACAGAGATAGGCACGACACACGTGATGAACGAATAACAGTGGAGCCAAGCTGCTTTATGAGGGTGGAAATTAATTATTTCATTAAACAACATTTGTGGAATCCCTAAGACTAATAGCTCACTTACGCTGAGAGCTTATTATGTGCTGGTCACTGTGTGAAGCCCTTCACATATATTATCATTTAAACCTCTCTGCAGCCTTGTGAAGTCAGTATTATCACTATCCCCCATTTTATAAATGAGGAAACTGAGGCTCTGAGAGGGGAACTAACTTGTCCGGAGTCATACAGCCTTCAAGTAGAGAAGCTGGAATCAGAACTGAGGCTACCTGACTCTTAAGTCCGTGCTCTTGATCACCAGACCTCACTGCCTCCAGAGGCCAGCAAAGTGATAGACAGACATTCCAACATCTGGGTGCTGTCTCAAGACCACATAACGGGACATATAAGTGATGTCAAGGTCATAGAGTCCAACATCTGAGAAACATCATAGCACTGACAATGTCAAAATATCTGAGGAATATAAGGATTGTAGATAATGTTGCCCTTTGCTCAGCCAAACATTTACCAAGCACCCACTACATCCATGCCAGGCACCATTTTAACCCAAGGGTGTAGTGCAAAAATGCATCCTCTCATATAGTTGGTGGGGGAGACAGAGAGAGAGAGACCAAAAAACTAAACAAAAATTATATGTCAGATATATACACTACCAAATGTAAAATAGATAGCTAGTGGGAAGCAGCCGCATAGCACAGGGAGATCAGCTCGGTGCTTTGTGACCACCTAGACGGGTGGGATAGGGAGGGTGGGAGGGAGATGCAAGAGGGAGGAGATACGGGGATATATGTATATATATAGCTGATTCAGTCTGTTATAAAGCAGAAACTAACACACCATTGTAAAGCAATTATACTCCAATAAAGATGTTAAAAAAAAATTATATGTCAGAGGTGACAATTGCCATGGAAAACAATAAAGCTGAGTCAGGAAAAAGGGACTGTCCAGTGAGCTGAGTGGGGTTACACTGGTGGCACTGCTACTTGTATAGGATCAGGAAGGCCCCCCCCCCCCGCCCCCAATAAGGTGAAGTCTGAGCAGAGCAGTGAAGTAAGTGGGGGAGTGAGCCATGCAGCGACGTGTAGATATCTCAGGCAGAGGACCAGCAAGTGCAAAGGCCTTGAGCTATGCTTGGCCCAGTCTAGGAACAGCCAAGAAGCCTGCGTGGCTGGAGCAGAGGGAATGGGGAGAGGAGTAAGCAAGAGTCACAAACACAGGAAAACGCCAAGGCCTACATAAATTCAGGCTCTGTGTAACACTGCACGTCTGGGTAACAGTAATAGGATTCATTCATTCCACATGCCTGGCACTGTCCTCAGTCCTGCCAACACAAAAACGGCTACAGACAGGATCTCTTAGAGCCTAACGGGGAAACAGAGAAACTCCACAGTGCCAGGTGACAGGTGCTATGTCAGGGCGCTATGAAAGTACAGAAGAGCGCATCTAACCCACACTAGAGACCAAGGAGGCTTCCTGGAGGAGACGGCACTTGAGCTGCCAAGCAGGAGAAGGAAAATGCTCCAGAACACAGATGCAGAGAGGGAGGGGAAGGCCAGAACCTGGAATGCTGGGCAGAGCTTCAGCAGCAGTGCCAGGGCCAGGGAGCAGCTTGTGGGAGGAAGGGGTCAAGGAGAAGGGCTTGGGGAGGAAAGTGATGGGATGGGGAAGGGCTTGGGTGTGTGGGGACTGACAGAGCATCTGCACAGGGAGGCCCAAGTTTAAGCAAGTGTGTTGGAAGTTGGTGGTTATGGAGTGGGAGATACCAGGTGAGTAGAGGTGATAAAAAGACTTCAGCAATTTACCTGCTGGCCCAGAACCCTGCTATCTCACCAGCCATTAGGTGGGTCCACCTGGGAGATGACAGGGAAGCAGAAGGTAGGGGGCCACCCCCATCTGCACCAGATCTTGGTTTCTCATCCCATCCTACAAGGTTCAGATCCTTCTTTTAGGCAGATCTCTGTGTCCTCACCCTGGGGCAGCTCCAGGAGATTCCTCAAATAATAATAACTCAAATACTCACAACCCTTTGTGGTCTTCAGTGTGCTTCCACCATCACAACCCCTGTGTCTCACAGTAAATCTAGGATGGACAGAGCTCCGCTGTTATCCTCCTTTCCATAGGAGATGCTGCAGCTCAGAGAGGTTAAGGCTTTGTCAAAGTCACACGGCCAGTGGGTGACTAAGTTGGGACTCGAGCCCAGCTCTTGAAATTGCAAATCCCACGGCAACACTGCAGCAACTGCAGAAAACAAGGCCCGGTGATGGCCGAGTCCCAAGGATAAGACTGGGAAAGGGGGTGGGACAGGCTCTGGAATGGGGAGGATGACAGATACAGGGGTGGTGGAGGCTGAGAATGGAGGCAAAAAGGGAGCAGTGTAGGGGGTTGGAGAGGTTTTGAGACAGACCTAGAGGCCTCTCCAGAAAGATCTGGTAAAATGTGCCAGCAGGGTTGAAAAAAATACAAGCTGCATCCTCCCAGCCCCATGTCTCTGTGACAAGGCAGGGAGGGCCTCTTGCTCCCATTTCACAGGTGAGAAAAGGGAGGCAAGGAGAGGTGCCCACATGGCTTGCCCAAAGGTCCACAGGAACTCAGGGCCCAGGGGGCCTTTTAGAAGCCGGTAGGGTAGACAAGACATCGGAGACTTTTCCACTCCAGCGTGAATGACGAAATAGAGATGATGAGAGAGGAGGTGGTGATGGAGAAATCAGGGCCGCATCCAAAGAGGGAGAGGAAACAGGCAGAGGTACAACGGAGCCTGTCAGCTGCAAAGATGGTGGAGAGATAAAGCCCTGACACCCAGCTCCAGTTACAGGCAGGCAGCATCAGCTGGTCGGGTGTCACGGACTCCCGGCCCCTCCTCCCGCCCGCTTGGACCCATCCACTTGGGCAGTTCCGCAGCGCAGCGCTGCCTGGTTCCTGAGCGGTGAGGATACCAGGAAGGAGGGGGCGGGAGGAAAGGGCTGTTCGCCGCCTCCTCCACTTCCGCTTGCAAATCCGCAGAGGCCTCCGCCGCAGCCTACAGGCCCGCCCTGGCCCCCTCTTCCCCCCGTCTCCCGCCCCCCTCCCCGCGTCTGGATGGTACGCTCCGGTCCTCCTGGCCCGGCTGCAGTGGATGTTGCTAGAACCCACGCGGAGGAAGGAAGAGACGCAGGCAGGCTGCGGTGACCCAAGCGGCCGCCCGTGCCTCAGGGACCCCTTCCCGGAGAGACGGCACCATGACACAGGGAAAGGTATCGGCATCTCCCCCACCTGCATCATCCTCCATCCTCTGGTTCCCCATCTCCCTGTCATCCTAAGCAAACTCTCAGGACCACCGTAAGCATCCTCCCTTGGCTCTTATGCGAAGGTCCTGCGTGGTCCTTGCCGAAGTCAGAGGCCCACAAGGCCTGTTTCAAGGAATGGGTTGTGGCCTCTTCCTGCCCACCAGGCTCACCTCTCCTCCCATCTACATTCCATCAATTGCTTTGGCATCACAGGAGCCTTCACAGACGCCCATGTCCCCTTAAGGAGTCAGCTTAGGCGTCTGGTGTGTGTGTGTGTGTGTGTGTGTGTGTGTGCACGCATCCCCAGGGTGAGCCCTGAGGGGCAGTCCCTATAGGGCACCCCCACTCTGTCCAATCCCAACCCCAACCATATATTCATCTTTTACACCCTCCACAGAACCCCACCATCACCACCACCAAACTCCCTGTCATTATTCCATATCTGGATACAGCCCCTGTGGTTGGGGGGTTCCTATGGCAACCCTGCTTCAGGATGTTCTAATTTTTGTTTTCGCTTTGGCCAGACATAGGACTGAATGGGATCGGATAAAACATCTTCTCTTTTTATTCCTGTTTTAGGCCTGAAGTGTAGGGGAGGGGCTGGGGCAGAGACTTGGCTGGCCTAGTAGGGTTATGTAACACCAATAGTCTGTGGAATTACACAACCACCAGGGCCTGGGGCAAAGAAGGAGGGTCCTCTGGCCCTCTGCTTGGGGGTGCTAAGGATTGGGCAGAGAAAACAGAAGAAGGGCCTCCCTTCCACTCCCCTTCTTTTCTCAGAGATGAGCCTCAGAGCCAATGGCATCTTTCCTGGGCTCTCAGACCCTCCTTTCACTGTTTTTTAAGCTCATCAGGCCTCAAAATGATGTCATTGGGTGATACCACCTCGTGCCATTTGGACAGACTTCACTTGGTAATGCTGGAAGTTGGGGGTCCAGGGCCTAGGGTCAGCAGGGTGGTTGTTGGTGAGGAGGACGAATCTGGACCGGGCTGAGGTCAGAGGTGATAATCCTTTTCCCAGGCACAAGCCCTGGGTCTGGGCTCAGAGAACCTTGGTTCCGGTGGGCTGAAATGGATTCTCCTGAGCATGACCCTTCTGATCTGGGTGATGAAGGGGGCTGGGGAGTGGGAGGGATGAGCCCGGGCCCTACTCCCACAGGCCTGGGTTTTGAGGCCCTTCCCTAAGGACGCAGGGGTGGGGTTCACCATGGTGAAAATGAAGAGCTCCCCGCTCTGCGGATTCTCTCCCTCCATTTCCCACCTCCACCTCCACCAGTCACTTTGCTGACGCTGCTTCCTGTCCTGAGGTGAATGTATTGCCCCTGCCTTTTCTGCCCCTCACCCCCAGCTTGCTCCCAGGCTTTCTGATGATGGAAAAGACCCCTCCAGTTCAGTCATCCTCAGGGCTGGATGGAAGAAGAAACGTTCCGGTGCTTGTTCATCTCTGGGCTGCCTCAGCTAGACGCTGCCCGCAGAGAAGGAACTTTGCAGCCTTCCTCAGTGGCCCTGCAGGTTTAACTCATTCTTTTTGGAACCAGACCTAAATCCCGTTTGTTTTCTGAGGTTCAGTCCTTTTGGTGACGTTTCAGTTTTCATACCATCCCCGCATCCCCAATCTTCCCTTCCCTGGCGGCATCATTCGGGCCCTCCCAGCCCCTATCTTCTCACCAAAGCTAAACTTGCACATTGTGGAACCGGGGCCATATCTGAGTGTAAATAGACTTGAATTTTCAACCTGCCATGGGATATTTCCCACTGGGCCTCAGTTTCCTCATCTGTAAGATGAAGGAAGGGGCTGAATGAGGAGGTGCTTTCCCTTCCATCAGTGACAGTCAGATTGTGTTCTGGTTTGAGGGAGAGGCTGAGGTTCCGACAGCATGAGGCCAAAATGGACTCTTAGCCAGGGGCCTCTTGCCCCTCCGCTCCCCTGCAGCCCCCATTCCTCTTCCTCTTTTTTTTTTTTCTTTGTCTGCACTGCCCACAGCATGCAGGATCTTAGTTCCCTGACCAGGGATTGAACCCGTGCCCCCTGCAGCAGAAGCATGGAGTCTTCACCACTGGACTGCCAGGGAAGTCCCCCTCTTCCTCTTTTTTTCCCTCTCCTCTCCCCTTTCTGTTTCCCTGCTCTCCCATCCCCACCCTCCTTGGTCATCTCCAGCCCAGCAGAAGGAGGCCAGCCCCAGTGGACGGTACCTGGGCTCTGCAGTCCAGTGGGCCATGTGTGGCTCTGAGTCATTCTTCCTCTCTGATCCTCAGCTCCTTCATTTAAAAACAGGGATCAAAATACAACGAGCAAGGTAGCAGGGAGATTCAATGAGAGGACCTTTCATTCAGTAATACTTTTAAGGGCCTGCTACTCTGTACCAGGCCCTTCCCTGGACCCTAGGGAAATGGTGGAACCATGTAGCGCCAGTCCCTGCCCCGGGGGACGGTGACCACCAATGGTGGGCTCTCCTAAGAATTTTCTCCTTCCTCAGTTCTTATCCCAGCTCCAGTGTGTGCCCCTGGCCAGTCCTGACCCCCCCTGGAGCTCAGTTCTCCCATCTGTAAAATAGGGAGATTCTTTTTTTCCCAGATTTATTGGGGTATAATTGACAAATAGGAATTGTATATACCTAAGGTGTGTGATATTTTGATATACATGTAACTTGCAGAATGATTACCACAATCAAGCTAGTTAACACATCCATCACTTCACATAGTTACCTTCTGTGTGTGTGTGTGTGGCAAGAACACTTATGATCTACCCTCTCAGCAAATTTCAAGTACACAATACGGTATTGTTAACTATAGTCACCAGGCTGCAAGTAGATCTCCAGAACTTTTTCATCGTGCATAACTGAGACTTTGTGCCCTTTGACCAGTATCTCCCCATTCCCCCCACCCCCCAGACCCTGGCAATCACCATTCTACTCTGTGCTTCTACGATTTCGACAATTTTAGATTCCACATATAAGTGAGATCCTGCAGTTTTTGTCTTTCTGTGTCTGGCTTATTTCACTTAGCATGATGTCCTCCAGGTTCACCCATGTTGTTGCAAATGACAGGAATTCCTTCTTTTTTAAGGCTGAATAATATTCCACCATATATATATCCCACATAAAATAGGGAGGTTCTTGTCTGCACCACTGCCGTTCCTAGCGCAGGTGAGAAAGTACCCATGGAAGTTCCAGAAATTGAGGGGCTGGGGAAGAGGACTTAGAAGGTGCCCTCTCCCTGGTGACTGTCTCTCTCTGCCTCTACTCCACAGCTCTCTGTGGCTAACAAGGCCCCCGGGACAGAGGGGCAGCAGCAGGCGAATGGTGAGAAGAAGGAGGCTCCAGCAGTGCCTTCGGCCCCACCCTCCTATGAGGAGGCCACCTCTGGGGAGGGGCTGAAGGCAGGAGTCTTCCCGCCAGCCCCCTCGGCTGTGCCTCTCCACCCCAGCTGGGCCTATGTGGACCCTAGTAAGTCTCTCAGTTCCTGGAGGCTGGAGCATCAGGGGGAGTGGTGGGCCCAGATGGAAAACCTGCATAGGAAGAAGTTGCCCAGAAATAGACGCACTGTGTGGTTGTTGTATGAGGCTCTGATGTCAAAGGTTTGGGATTTGGAGGACTTTTCTGAGGGTAGGTCAAGGAGAACTCCGTGAAGAAGGACTGATACAGTTTCTGCAGTCATAGTTCCCTTGGATGGGGAAGAGGGGCTTTTTCAAGTCACCAAGCTAGGGCAAAAAGAGGGGACAGATGGGGGAGAAAAACCAGGGGCTGTCCTAGAAGAAAAGGATGCAGAGAGGGAGTGAGAGAGGTCAGAGTGGACACAGGAAGGAGCAGTACGAGGCTACAGCTAACTGTGGCCTCAGCTGGGGCTGGCTCCCTGTGAGTGTGGGTGCAGTTTGCTGACATGCTGGCTGATCTGAAACCAATCCCCGTGGAGGCCCCAGGGTTGTTTAGGGCGGGGGCCTGAGGATCCACTTCACCCATCACTCTCCTTGTCTCTCTACCCTCCCCCAGGCCTTAACTGGGGGCGGGAGAGCAGGATGTGGGGAAGGTGTGTGGATGCCAGCCTTAGCATCCCTCAGGGCCAGGCACAGTTCCTAGGCCGACCCACCCGGGCTGACGCCAGCTCCTTGCAGACTAAGAATCGGGCTGGTAGGGGGCCCTCTGTTCGGTGTGGCAGCCTGTGGGAGCTTTGCCTCAGGGCTGGGAACGTCCAGCTCCCGCAAGCTGCAAGGAAGTCTTCCTCGGCCCCCTCGACCCCCTCCCCCACCTTGTCACCCCACCCCCACCCCCAGCAGAATTCTAGAAGGGATCCTGGGGACAATGCCTCAGACAGTCTCTACTCAGGAGGAGCGGCCACCATGGTCCACACCTCCCACCACAAAGCCCCTCAGCCCAGACCCAAGCAGACCCACCCCACCGTGATCTACTGGAGGACCTTTGAAGGTCTGGTGTTCATGGGAGCCCTTCCTCCTGCCGCTGACACCCACAGGACTGCTTTTTCTCTCCTTTTCTCCCCCTCTGTGGCCTGGCCATTTGGGCTTTGGTGGGGGACGTGGACAGAACATGAAGGAGTGAAGGATAAGAGCTTTAGGGTCTCCAAGCCCCAGGTTGGCAGTGGGTCCACCTCCCTCCCCCTTCCTCATTTCCCATATCCTGGTTGCCAGGACTGGCTGTCTTAAGGAATGTTTTCCAACGAACTGTCAGAGCAGAGGAAGGCAGCTCATTTCAGTCAGCACGTGACAAACATTTACTAAGCGTGCACCAGGCACCGTGTCTGGCACTGAGCTAATTTCTGGGGATGCATTGATTTGCAAGCCCTTCCCTCACAGAGCTGACAGTGTAGACAAGTAAATGGATGATTACCACATGGCGAAAGGCAGTGATGGAGGCCTTGGCAGTTCAGCTAACCCGCCTGACAGTCAGGGAAGACTTCCTGGAGGAAGGGGCATCCATGAGGGGAGTCCTGAAGGATGGCATGTATTAGCTTGGTGAAGAGGTAGGAAAATGAGTGTCCAAGGCTGAAAGAAAGAATGTGCAGGGGCCCAGAGGCAAGAGAGCACATTGCTGAAAAAAATATAGCCAGGCTGGAGAAAAGTAGAAGGGAGTAGTGTGCAGTGGGGCTGGAGGACTCGTGGGAGGCGGAGGAGGCTTTGTTAAGGAACTTGAACTTGAGTAAAAGGCAGTGAGGAGCCATCAAAGAATTTAAAGCGGGACAGTGCCGAGGTCAGATTTGAAAGGCCAAGACAGGCTCTTGCTGTGGAGGGGAAGGTCATGGAGAACTTGCAGGGATGGTGGAGAGCAGAGTGGACACATTTGAGGCCTTAGGAATGACCCAGACGAGGGGTGAAAGAGAGAGGGTGGTGTCGTCAGCATCAGGCACAGAGCTTTCACTTTTATCCGTTTCATCCCCGTGAGGTGGGTATCACCAACCCATATCACGGAAGAGACAAAGAAGGCTGGTGACTTGCTTAAGGCCACACAGCTAGTCAGTCTTGGGGAGGGATCCACGTGTTTGCTTACAGAGCCCACGCTCTTCCAAAAGCCTGAGTTCTGGGACCAGGCCCCCAAACTTCACCCACACCCACATGCCACTTCTTGCCCTTGTCCTGGCTCTGTTTCCCCTCCAGCCTCCCCCAGCTCTGGTTCCCAGCTGGAGCACCAGCAGGTCCACCCCACCTACGAGTCCCCAGTTCCCACCCCCGGGACCTCAGAGCAAGCCGGGGTAGGACCTTTGACTCTGGGATGTGTGAGGTAGCCCTGGGGGAGTGGCTGTCTTTCTCTGATTCTCAGCCACAAGGGAGCCAGAATGTCCAGGAAGGGGGATGGGGGGGGGCACAAGAGGGAAGGGCCACATTTGTATGGCAGAGCTTGGGCCCCAGGGAGCCCCCGCTTGGGGTGGGAAGGGGAGATGACTGTTCCTTCTCACACTCAGAACAGGAAAGGTGAGGGGCAACCTGGGAGAGATCTGGGATCTCTGTGGGATGGGATGGGGTGGGGCAGGAGGAGGTTTGAGAATGGGGCTGGAGAGAAGGGCGTTGCCTGGTCCAGAAAGCCAGTCTGACAAAAGGTAGCTCTGAGCCGTTGGGGGTGGTGTTTATGTGTGTGGGAGCGCTCACGGCCCTCCCCCTGCCCATCCAGGCAGCAGCTCTAGCTATGAGAGTGGTTTCCCCACTGGAGACCATGAGCTCTTCACCACCTTCAGTTGGGACGACCAGAACGTTCGCAGAGTCTTCATCAGAAAGGTAACTGCCTCCCCCAACTCTCCCAGACTGGGAAGCTGGGTGGGGGGAGCCTCTCGAGAAGCCGCTGGCCCAGTCTCCTGCCCAGAGGCCATCCCTCTCCCCATCCTTGTGATGCCAACTGACGGCACCTACTGGGAAGTTGGGGTGCCCACTGCCCCCTGCTGCGGCTGAACACGTGGTCTCTTCTCTCCAGATGCCATGGGTGTGGGCTCTGGAGTGTCTTTGCTGTCCTTTCGCCTTGTCCTGGATTCATTCCGATGCCCCCTAAGAAGGAGGGTGGAAGGCCCAGGATGCGGGTCTGGAGGGTAGATGGAGTCGCCAGGAAGTTGGGGTCTCCCTAAGCCTTGCTGGGGGCCTGAGCCTCTCTGGCCCCCAACAGGGCCCCCCAAGCTGAGCGGAACCCCCTCCCACCCCCAGGTCTATACCATTCTGCTGATCCAGCTGCTGGTGACCTTGGGTGTCGTGGCTCTCTTTACCTTCTGGTGAGTTGGCTGTGTGGACCAGCACGTTCCACGGGTGGTGGCGCCAGGTCTCGGCCTGGGGAGGAGGGTCCAGAGTTAGACTGTTCTTAGAACCGTCTGCCTGAAGATGATGGTGCAGGGCAGCGGCCCACCTCATGCTGGGAAGAACCTTAGACCGTGCACAGGGAGAGGTCCTCCGTCCAGCAGGGGGTGGCCCCG